TCACTTAATTTTAAACAGACTCAGCATGTCATAATTGTGCTAGAAAAATGCTTTTTAACCACCATGTAGAAAGATCCACTGAAGTGCGATGCCTAGAATATTCCTCATTTTGAGCGTTTTTTAGTTAAAAATTGCCGATTTTGTAAAATATTTTTTCAAGTATTGAACGGAAAGATGGCCTTGTCACTTAATTTTAAACAGACTCAGCATGTCATAATTGTGCTAGGAAAATGCTTTTTAACCACCATGTAGAAAGATCCACTGAAGTGCGATGTCTAAAATATTCCTCATTTTGAGCGTTTTTTAGTTCAAAATTGCCGATTTTGTAAACATTTTTTCAAGTATTGAACGGAAAGATGGCCTTGTCACTTAATTTTAAACAGACTCAGCATGTCATAATTGTGCTAGGAAAATGCTTTTTAACCACCATGTAGAAAGATCCACTGAAGTGCGATGCCTAGAATATTCCTCATTTTGAGCGATTTTTAGTTAAAAATTGCCGATTTTGTAAACATTTTTTCAAGTATTGAACGGAAAGATGGCCTTGTCACTTAATTTTAAACAGACTCAGCATGTCATAATTGTGCTAGGAAAATGCTTTTTAACCACCATGTAGAAAGATCCACTGAAGTGCGATGCCTAGAATATTCCTCATTTTGAGCGATTTTTAGTTAAAAATTGCCGATTTTGTAAACATTTTTTCAAGTATTGAACGGAAAGATGGCCTTGTCACTTAATTTTAAACAGACTCAGCATGTCATAATTGTGCTAGGAAAATGCTTTTTAACCACCATGTAGAAAGATCCACTGAAGTGCGATGTCTAGAATATTCCTCATTTTGAGCGTTTTTTAGTTCAAAATTGCCGATTTTGTAAACATTTTTTCAAGTATTGAACGGAAAGATGGCCTTGTCACTATATTTTAAACAGATTCAGCATGTCATAATTGTGCTAGGAAAATGCTTTTTAACCACCATGTAGAAAGATCCACTGAAGTGCGATGCCTAGAATATTCCTCATTTTGAGCGATTTTTAGTTCAAAAGTGCCGATTTTGTAAACATTTTTTCAAGTATTGAACGGAAAGATGGCCTTGTCACTTAATTTTAAACAGACTCAGCATGTCATAATTGTGCTAGGAAAATGCTTTTTAACCACCATGTAGAAAGATCCACTGAAGTGCGATGCCTAGAATATTCCTCATTTTGAGCGATTTTTAGTTCAAAATTGCCGATTTTGTAAACATTTTTTCAAGTATTGAACGGAAAGATGGCCTTGGTACTTAATTTTAAACAGACTCAGCATGTCATAATTGTGCTAGGAAAATGCTTTTTAACCACCATGTAGAAAGATCCACTGAAGTGCGATGCCTAGAATATTCCTCATTTTGAGCGATTTTTAGTTAAAAATTGCCGATTTTGTAAACATTTTTTCAAGTATTGAACGGAAAGATGGCCTTGTCACTTAATTTTAAACAGACTCAGCATGTCATAATTGTGCTAGGAAAATGCTTTTTAACCACCATGTAGAAAGATCCACTGAAGTGCGATGCCTAGAATATTCCTCATTTTGAGCGATTTTTAGTTAAAAATTGCCGATTTTGTAAACATTTTTTCAAGTATTGAACGGAAAGATGGCCTTGTCACTTAATTTTAAACATACTCAGCATGTCATAATTGTGCTAGGAAAATGCTTTTCAACCACCATGTAGAAAGATCCACTGAAGTGCGATGTCTAGAATATTCCTCATTTTGAGCGTTTTTTAGTTCAAAATTGCCGATTTTGTAAACATTTTTTCAAGTATTGAACGGAAAGATGGCCTTGTCACTTAATTTTAAACATACTCAGCATGTCATAATTGTGCTAGGAAAATGCTTTTTAACCACCATGTAGAAAGATCCACTGAAGTGCGATGTCTAGAATATTCCTCATTTTGAGCGTTTTTTAGTTCAAAATTGCCGATTTTGTAAACATTTTTTCAAGTATTGAACGGAAAGATGGCCTTGTCACTATATTTTAAACATATTAAGCATGTCATAATTGTGCTAGAAAAATGCTTTTTAACCACCATGTAGAAAGATCCACTGAAGTGCGATGTCTAGAATATTCCTCATTTTGAGCGTTTTTTAGTTCAAAATTGCCGATTTTGTAAACATTTTTTCAATTATTGAACGGAAAGATGGCCTTGTCACTATATTTTAAACATATTAAGCATGTCATCATTGTGCTAGGAAAATGCTTTTTAACCACCATGTAGAAAGATCCACTGAAGTGCGATGTCTAGAATATTCCTCATTTTGAGCGTTTTTTAGTTCAAAATTGCCGATTTTGTAAACATTTTTTCAAGTATTGAACGGAAAGATGGCCTTGTCACTATATTTTAAACATATTAAGCATGTCATAATTGTGCTAGAAAAATGCTTTTTAACCACCATGTAGAAAGATCCACTGAAGTGCGATGTCTAGAATATTCCTCATTTTGAGCGTTTTTTAGTTCAAAATTGCCGATTTTGTAAACATTTTTTCAATTATTGAACGGAAAGATGGCCTTGTCACTATATTTTAAACATATTAAGCATGTCATAATTGTGCTAGAAAAATGCTTTTTAACCACCATGTAGAAAGATCCACTGAAGTGCGATGCCTAGAATATTCCTCATTTTGAGCGTTTTTTAGTTCAAAATTGCCGATTTCGTAAACATTTTTTCAAGTATTGAACGGAAAGATGGCCTTGTCACTATATTTTAAACATATTAAGCATGTCATCATTGTGCTAGGAAAATGCTTTTTAACCACCATGTAGAAAGATCCACTGAAGTGCGATGTCTAGAATATTCCTCATTTTGAGCGTTTTTTAGTTCAAAATTGCCGATTTTGTAAACATTTTTTCAAGTATTGAACGGAAAGATGGCCTTGTCACTATATTTTAAACATATTATTTTTTAGGAAGCCAAAAGCAAGCAATGAAGCGAACCATGGAAGTGCACGCTGACAAGGAAGAGCCGGGTAAGAATAATGTAAACACTTTAACATAATCTTAAAATATCTTAACTAAAAAATCGCCCAATATATCTTCGTTCTCCAAATCGATTGTCTCTGTCTGCTTCATCTTTTCAACCTTCTCATTTTAACTATTATTCAAATCCGCAAACAAAGTTGTTTACCATCAAGCTGTCACCCTTTCCTATCATATGTAGTGCCAGTGATGAATGAAAAATAGCTACTGTAGTGATGACATGACATTAACTGAAAAATGGAAAAGAAGCCTTCTATCTCATGGTATGCCTGAGATATTCGAGGGAAAATGGTCATCGAGTTTCTTAAACTGTCAACGGAGTCACTTCTAGCCTAACAAACACAAACGATTCTCCCTAGCCATAATCTTGATCATCGAAAGAGAAAGACAAGAAGAGAAATGCCCTCATTTTACAAGAAATACCAAACAGTTTACATACTTTCGAACACCGACTCAGTTTCAGTTGAATATTCCAACTAGCCTATCAATTCAACCTTTTGTGACAAAAACAAATTGTAGTGCGGTAGTGGCCCAAAAACTCTATTTCTATTTTGAAAAGAGTTATGCATTAAACAACAACCGCAGCTCCTGCTAGATTATAATCAAGTAAGAATGGGATAATTTTTGGTTTGTGGGTGAAAGGTTCAGTAGACAAACTGCCCCAGTCGTGACTTTTTTGCCAATTTTCAGTAGCTTCGATCTTACTCACGTTTGAGATGTTTTTCTTTTTAATAAAAAAGAACTGACCTCCGTACAACTTCAAATTTAACATAGGTGGGATCCTAGCGCCGCATCAGAAGGTTTCCGACCGCTCAGCATGGATTGTCACTCAGCAACAAACTAGTGGAACTCCGGGTACCAAAACACAGATCCGATTGAGTCACAGACATAAGCAGTGCTGCCGTTTTGATCTGGTGAGGTAGCTGAAATTCTTCTGGTTAATCTCAAATTCTCAAATCATTGGGGAAACTAACTTCAGTTTAGTCCAATCACCAAATCATGGGCTCTTCGAGCATGTCAATTGGCAGCGCCTCTTCTTCAGAGAAAAACTTATCAATTTTGTTTTCGATAAATACTTTTAGCACGGGTGCATTAAGTCCGACGTCATTCGATTTCTGCCCACTTGTCAGTCATCAGCTTCTCCCCAGCATCATTTGCTTGAAAACTCGAACTTTTCGAAAAGTTGACTATCAAAGGCTTTGTCCGAGGCGCAGAAGCTTTTTCACCTTCTGACGAGGTTTTTCTCCGGCTGGTTTAGGTGTTGGGTAATGTTCAGGAAATTGTTGGAAACATGTTCTTTTCTTTATTCGGGTTTGATTAACATCTAGGCGATGACAATTTTGATAAGCTTGATGAATTTGAGAGGTTTTTGTCTTCACGCTGACAAAGTGCTTTGACGTGCTGAAAAACTGATTCGTTGGTTGCGGATTTTCAAATCTAGCTTAGCCACCAGGTTCGAGGCTGGCGTCGGTGTTTTGTAAACAAAGTAAATTTACCTTTGGTCCCAGTGAGCAGAAAAATCAGCATCTTGCGAGTCAGATCCTTAAATCTGCCGATGACTCTTCATGGTCCATTGATGCACTAAATAAATGATCTCGCAGAATGGTGCGAATTATGTCACGACGCTCGTCCATTAATCAAAGGCCTGTTGTTTCTTGTTGATGATTCACAGTAGATCCGCAATTTTGCCACCATTTTTTGGGATAAAACACAGGCACTGCAATTCACTTATTACATCAGAAGCTTTGCAGAGTTTAGAAACTCACCTCAATATATGTATAGTTTGCAATTTCTTCATGCTTGATGATCCCACGGATCAATCCATGGCGCGGACAAGGCACACTGTCAGTATTATTGCTCAAGTTAGCTGGAGCTCCATGATCATGTCGCAATATTGACTTATTTGACTTCGAATATGTTGATGCTCGAAATCGGATGAATCGTAGGCTGAACTGAAAAGTAATCGTTGGTAAAAGTGGGAAAAAGTACAACTCACGATTTCTGTGTGTAAGCAACACGAACAGATGTCACTCCTAAGCCGCTGAAAATTGATGGATGTTGTGGTGGGCGGACGCTAGAGCGGAATCTTTTTCTCCAGCAATCATATGAGGTTCATCTATCATTTTTCCAATATATAGAGCTCCAAAAGTTTGATCTTGTCCCCAGCTTAGTAGGTTTTTTGAGAGACTTCAAGAATCTTTCATGTTGGTTGTTATTGGTGTCGTTTTTGGTGGCAGACTTCTGGAAAGCCAATTAGAAGCTTACTGGAAAGCAAGCGTTGTGAACATGGTACCCAGCAAAACAAGTAGCAGCCAAATCGGATCATCCGTTTTTTTTCTGGAATGGATGCAAAAACTCACAGTTAGAATATCTGTGCTTTAGTTCTGGAACGATAATTCTCATTGACTAAATTATATCATCTTTGTGGCAAAGTGGGGACGGAATTCCAGAAGTGCCGACCGACAACTTTCCCAAAGTCCTGGTCTTTTTGAGTTGAGCAGAAACTGAAGCAACTCCTTCCTCATCTTTAGAGATAGTGACAGAAACGTCTCGTCGGGGCAAGCAGCGATAACTGCTGATGGAGCCTTCCTTTTTTTCCAAGTGACACCTAGAGTTATTATAGCTATTTATCTCAATGATTTATTGATGATACTACACTGTAATAGTGCTACTTCATGGTTTGTTCTCAAATTGCTTCTTCGTTCATTTATCCCACTATCCTTTTCCGAGTTGACTTCCACAGGATTCCCGACTTTTGTTCCGGTTCCCTGCCTGAGTCCTGATGGAGCGGCGATCGTGCTTCTTGTTTCCTGAAAATAGGTTGATTTGAGTTTCGAACTGCAACAGAAACAAATAATCTTTCACACGTGAGGTACAGTTGCAAAAAATAACTCGCTCCTTCATTTTCAACTTTCAAGGTTAAAGCAATCTGACTCAGTGAGTCGTTCATATTTGGTTTCATGACCAATCTCTAGGAGATTGTTGAAGATTGTCTTTTGCAATACAAAAATAACTCACTTTCTGACTGAAAAAGCGAAAAATCAGAAATCTTGTTAAGCTAAAACATCAATGAACAAGTTTAGCCACATGGTCCAAAAAAGCATTCATTCGAAGGGGTTGGTAACATATATTTCTTTTCTCGAAGAAAATTTTGATTGCGACGATTCCGCGTTATCATTGTCCCTTGGAGAGAAGTTCCTTGTTTGCACGTTGACGATGCCCTTTGACCTGCTGAAAAACTAATTATTGGAGTGTAATGCAGATATTCAACTGTATCTCTGCCGCCAGCTTTGAGACTGGCATCGATGTTCTTTGAAGTCAAAATTAACTCACCTTTGGCCGTAGTCAGCGAGACATCTGACTCAGCGCCTTGTAGGCTGGTTCCTTGTCTCTGTCGATTATTCGCTGATGGTTTATGCACACGATAAATTGATTTTTCTCCAAATAGAAGCTTTTCAAATCACGACGTGCGTTTATTCAGCGTCTTGCGGATGATTAACAGTAAATCCGCAATTTTTCGTTCCGAGTTTCGCAATGAAAGCGTAGAACCTGTAATTTTTTCATTTTATTGATAGGTCTGAAAAATTAAGTCACTTACCTCAATATGCGGATTATTAACAATTTCTTCGTGTTTGATGATCAATATTTGTTGGAGTCATCAATCAGACTTGGTATGTTTCTGATTCACACGTTGATCATGCATCAGCAATTTGCTCATCAGAAATGTGTGCGGAGTATTAGTTTTCTGAAATGACAATCGTGCCGAAGTAGAGACATTGTTGTTTTTGAGGATAAGTGGAACCTTTTGATAGTCCAAATTCTTCAGCATGCTCAAGATTTACCAGGAGAGAACCATGTGTCCAATGAATACACGTTTATCGATGACTTGAACAAGAAGATCAAGTAACCTCCTGCAAAATTATAGATGTTTGAATGACACCGCTTTCACTGATCAAAATAGCTCGAAGATCTGAGATTTTGTTCTAAAACTGTGGTTTCCATCTTCGACAGCCTTTCCAGAGCAGATTAGACAGATTACATGTTGCTCGATAATTGAAAATTCGGTGATGTTTTTCAATCGATCCTGGTTGTTCTCTCTGTCAAAAAGTTCACGAAAAGGAGGAATGTTGGCTGGCTTGAAGATGAATATCATCCAATTAGCTAAGAATTCTCCGAGCATCTTTTCATCAGGCTCTTGATTTCTTTTACAATATCTGAAAAATTAAAATTTTCGAATAAATTTTGAAGATTAAAATATCTTTTGTTACGATTTTTTGAATGGATGCTGAGTGATAGCTGGAACCACATTATCAGTAGCCTTCCAACGAGCGGCATCAAATTCGGGTTACATTTAGCTCATTGATCAAATATCACTTGGCCTGGTTTTGCTGATGGAATAAAAAAACAGAAATGGCTAACCTCTGCTGCAAAAGGGAAACAAAGCATCAGCTGGCTACAACATTGTTCCGTTTGCTGCACAATCACAGGTATTAGTATCAGGGAATGCGGTTCGATCATCTATCATTTTGCAGGTGGCTTATCTTCCTGGAATGGGATGGAAAGCATATGACGTCCGTATATGATTTTGCAGTCAGAGAGCTCCAAAATTGCAATTTTGTCGTCAGTTTGAGACATCTTTCTGGGAGATCTCAATAATCCCTCGAGCTTTTCTTCGTTCATGGCGCTGTTTTTTGCAGAGTTTGATAGAGCCAGACTAATGAGTTTTCATCGACACTATCATCCTCGACAGCAAGAATGGCTCGTAGAGTGGAACTGAGAATCCTTTAGGGTCGGCAACCTTTGCGAAGATTTTCTTCTCCTCGAGTCAAGCACGGAATAAAGCTTTCTCCGGAAGCTCCAGAGACTGTGGCAGAAACAGCTTCGATGTGGCAAGCAGCATCAGCTCCGCGTGTAGCCTATGTCTTCATTTCTTCCCAAGAGAGACACAGAGCTCCCGTAGTTTCTTCAATCAACAGATTCTTGACTTATTTAGCATTATCTGAACAATGAATTCTCGAAAAATTGTCAAAATGAAATGAATTTACATTGCGAGTTCATTGAATGGTTACTGAGTGATGGATGAAGCAACGCGATCAACAACCTTCAAGATGAGTTGTGTGTTGGATCCTCCGAATTCGAAAGAGTTGACTTCTACATTTACCAAAAGCGCGTAAGCAGTCTCTCCTGCAAAATTGTAGATGATTGAACGACGCCGCTTTCACTAATAAAAATACCTTAAAATTGACATCAAATTGATCTAAGAACAGGTCATCTTCTTCTTCAGCAACAATATGCTGAATTTTCTTCGGAATCGAAGAATCCTTTTTTTGTTTAGCTTCAGTGAATATCTAAATGAAAGCGATGCGAAACGGACCTTTGTCTTCTGACGAGCCTTAAATTATACGGTTTTTTTCTTGAGCACAATCTGAAAAATAATAATTTTTACCACTTCGTGACTTTGAATTAAAATAAGACCTCAACCCATCCGTGAATTGTGGGTCGAGATAGACTTCCACTTCCAGGTAGCGGTAGTAGAATTTTTTCCGTGAACATTTCTTCAATTTTTGCGATTCGGAATTTCGGCAGCGTTGGCCGAGAGAGACGTCAGACATCTCTAAATCCTTTTTTTGCTTTGATGGACTTAAGCGACGGCTGCTCTGAAATGCAACGTATTGTTGGTCAAATTCTGAAAAAGTAAAACTCACGGTTTCAGTGCGGTAGTAACGTAAAATGCAGGTTACATGCTGATACAGTTGAAATTCCGATGTGAACGCATCCAAACTATCAAAAGCAGCCATCTTGTTGTGAAATAACTGAAATATTTCGATTTAATTGAACATCTCAAATTTTTGAAATGTCCTACTTCATAACTAAATGTGCCCGTGTACAGTGAATGAAATATCTTCCGGATGAGTATCGGAATAACTTCATCCCTTGTGATTTCACAATTCACACGAACACTTTGAGAGTAATTCCTGGCACCAGAACAGTGATCCGATTAAGAAACAGAAACAATCAGTCCTACCGTTTTGATGTAGTGAGGTAGCTGAAAATCTGCTGGTTAAGCTCAAATTCTCCAAACATTGGAATAACTCACTTTGGTTAAGCCCAATCAGTATTAATAACATGAGCTCTTCGAGCATGTTAATTGGCAACGCCTCTTCTTCAGACAAAAACCGATTGACTTTTTTATAAACAATCTCCGCACGGGTGTCACGAGTCCAAAGCCGGGCGATTACTTGTTTGTCAGCCATCAGCTTATTCGCAACAACATTTGCTTAAAAATTCATAACTTCCGGAAAGTTGGCTATCAAAAATTTTGTCCGAGACTCAGCAGATTTTCCAACGTCTAACGAGGATGTTCTTTGTCTTGACGATGACGATTTCGGCTTGCTTATTGACTCTGAGAAGCTTCTCGTGAGTGCTTTGACGTGCTAACGGGAATGGTCTAACCGAGCGGTTTTAAAACTTCTTCCTACTCATCCTTTTTTGTAAAAAACAAAGAAAAATGTCATACTAATCCCATGATGTAATGTTTTACTCATTTCAGCATGCCGATCCATATCGCTACTTTCCCAACCGAGACATCACGTGGATTGCGGATCTTTATACACTTATCGAGGATCAACGCGAGTCTGGATACCACTACAACAGCTTGTTGGATCTTCTGGATGACGCCATTCCCGGAGTGGATCCATCTGA